CCTGTAATCTATGTAATGGGTTAGCTTCATCTGGATTATAGACAGATATAGCTGGGTATCATCAGCATAACAGTGGAAATTGATACAGCAGTCATTTATTTTGAGGATAATTTATTGTACTGAAATGTTTTTCATGCCGATTGTAATATATGGTTGGATGAAGAGTCATGCAAAAAAAAAGTCCCTCTTCATGTATGGTTCTTGGAGACATATCAAGGATTTAGATCTTGATTTAGATCTAGATTCTAAATCTGCTCTTTATAACTGTTCTTTACTTAAGAAAAACCAAAACGCTCCAGTTAGACATCAGGCATGGTCACTTCAAATTAAATCCACACTCCTGTGGTACATACAGGGTATATGCTGGTGGAGATTCTCAGTCATTCAGGTCACTTATTCTAAAAAGTAAAAAAAAAACAATCCACTGGACTTAGTTTTCAAAGTCTGAAGACGTTTTGCTTCCCATCCAGGAAGTTTTCTCATTTCAAAATGTCTGGATTAGCATTGAGGTCCAGACTTTATTGAGAAGCTAAACTAAAGCCTTGTAAAAGCTTAGAAAACATGCATATTGAAACTGGAAAACCAGCTTCACCCTTTAATAATGGAACTCGTTGAGGTTGTTATTGGCCTGCAATACCCGATACTGGTCCATTCCTCTGAAAGGCAGTCGTTAAGGGTCATTGTTGGCCTGGCTGACCTGGCGAGATCATTTATTCCACTGCTTAGCTTAACCCTACCCTTTTTTCTTTCTTAACAAAGATGGCTTCCTTCACGCCCCTCTCAAACCAACTGTCTTCTTTGTCCAAAATGTGAACATTCTGGGATTTTATGTTTGGAGAAAATCCTCTTGAGTTTTTCAGAGACTCCAGCAACATATAGGATGGAGATGATTTTGTGCCTAATTATTTAAAAGCAAAAACATGGAGTGTATGGAGTATGCATTAAATCCTGGGCACTTTGAAGAAGAACAGTTTCTTTATTTCCCAATAGAGGATCATAGAAAAGAAACAATCTGTGTAAATCAAAGGAAAATAATTGAACTCCTAATATGGAAACATCACTTATATTATAGAAACGTAAGAGTTTTATGATCTGAAAACACTGAAAGACGTAAAGAAGCCAAAACCAGATTCACCAGATCAACACTATAAGTGAGGAAGGCTACCTGCACGCTGCCCACTGCAGAGTAGGCTGCATAGGAGAACTGCTCCTTCAGCAGGTCTGGGGGCCCCCGCTGGTCACATGGGGTCCCACTGGGAAGGAAACACTGGTGGCTGGATCTGTCAGTGATGGTGTTTGGTGTGGATCCAGGCAGGCTGAGCAGAACCGTGTAATTGTAGAGGTGGACATCAGTCAAGCCAAGTCCTACCCACTGCTGGTACAGGTACCTGGCTCTGGATTCTTCACTGTCATCTGGAAGACTGGAGAAGGACCTGGAGGCAGAATATAAAAGAATGACAGATATTTAACACTTTGCTCTCTGCTTTCCATCCT